ATATTTTATTTGATCACAGGCTCAGTTCTGTATTTTGAGCAAAGCCCCCATAGCTTAGAAAATCTATCCATCCTTGAAAATTGGTAATCACATGATGGTACACCAACCGCCCGACCTTCCGCTTGTCTGCACCACAGGCATACCAATGTTTAATTTCACACTTTCTAGCTAGTTTGGGAGCATTCAACCTGATATTGAACATCGCAGGCTCAAGTTCAATTTTTTTAAAATGCATATGCAGGGTTTGAGCCAGGCGGCGCCATTGCACCAATCCCGCACTGCAACTGAAATTTTCCCTTAAAGTTTAGGGAAAAAACTCGAAAGGAAGCACACAGGAAGAGATTTAGTTCAGTACAGAAATTGCAAGCTAACACAGAACATGGAAAGTATATTTTATTGCACGTTTAAAGTTCATTCTAAAGTCACGTTTCGGTGATGCTCTACTTAACATTTGTGTCTCATGCTCAACCAAGCGTGGTGAACTCACCTGGCAATCTTTAACATGTCACATCGAAAACGTGTTTGAACATTAGAAAGCTTTTTCGCTCCAAATCGAAGCCAGAGTGAATCAGAGAAAAATGATACAGAAGAAGAACAGTGTATTAATCAGGAAGAAATGGATGAGGATCAAAGGAAACCAAAAAAATCACGAACTTTCCAACAAACTTGGTTGCGAGATCACACTTGGTTACGGTATGAAAAGGAGGCGATGTTCTGCTTTTTTTGTCGGAAATCTAAGAAGACAAACCCTGTTGCATCGGCAAAACGGTGTACAAATTTTAGAACCTCAACTCTGCAATGACATTAAGACTGTAAAGAACATGAGGATGCTGTTAATGAAGAAGCTATGAGGGATACGTTCAGCAACACACAGCACCGTCTTTTTAGAGAAGAATCGCAAGCCATCCTAACAGCAATGAGAGCCGTCTACTGGCTGGCCAAGGAGGATATAGCAACAGTCAAGTACGACTCACTGCTCAATTTTCTGGATGAAGTTGGCCTCGAAAGTGTTAAGAATCTTTGAGTGGGAGGAAATGTTACCTATCGATCTCATCAAAGTGCTGAAGGTACATGCAAGATGCTATTGCTACTGTTCTGAAGTCTAACATTGACAAACTACAGTAGAAGCCAGCCCATTCTTTTCTCTGTTAATCGATGAATCAATGGATCAGTAATCATGAAAATCTTGTTGTTTATGTTAAGTTATTGAATGAATTTAAACCAGAACTGCACTTTTTAGAAAACATCAACGTTCAGAATGGAAAGGCAGAAACTATTACAACTGCTGTCAACTTGCTAATGGAAAGGAGAAATTGACTTGCACAAAATGGCAGGATTTGGCAGCGATGGAGCAAGTGTCATGACAGGAAAAAACAATGAAGTTTCAAAACGAATGAAGGACAATAGTCCATTTCTTGTGTCTATCCCCTGGATGGCTCACAGGCTTGCGCTTTGCACAAGCCAAGCGGCTAATGGTATTCCTTATTTGGCAAAATTCAAAGAGATCCTTACTGCTCTGTTCTGCCATTTTGACCAGTCTGCCCTCCAGTCACAGTCACTGGCAGAATTTCAGAAGATCTTTGAACATCCTGAGCTAAAACTCAAGGAAGTGTTTGATACACTGTATCAGGTTGTTTTCATTCTACGGTACTCTGGAGACACTGTACCGCACCTGGCAGTCTCTTGTGGCCTACATGGAATCTCAACCCAATAGTGATGATAAGCCTGTGCATTCAATAAGAGCCTGAAGGAGTTCAATGTCATTGCCACCCTCTGCATGATGGCGGATGTGATTCCTATTCTCACATTCATGAGCCTTGCTTTGCAAAAGGAACATGTAGAGCTTGCTTCAGTTCAGACACTGGGGAAATCAACAGTTACTACTACTCAAATAACCGCTCTTAAGAGTAACAATGGCAAATTCTTGTCCGAGATTTTGCCATCGCAAGATGATGTTTCAGAAGTTAAATGGAGAGAGAATAATTGTTATAGTGATTTTTGTTCTTAACTTGCCCGACGGGCAAGTGACAGCTTGCCCAAATGGCAGGCTGTAAAACTGACTTTCTTCACACCCTGCTTAGGGCAAAAATTAATGCTGGGTTAGGGGAGGGGTAGGTACGCAGTTTCCCCGAAATCTAAATTAATCCAGAGGTTCAATTGTAGTAACCAGTGCAATGGTAGACTGTTCGTTGATGTTTTGTACAATAATAATTGTTATCATGTTTGAAAGTGTTGTGGTAACAATCCATCAATCGTAAACAAATTCAGTTATCCATAACGATTGTAAGACAGTCATCAGTTTCTTACATTGTTGAAAGGATAGATTTCTTATAATCTCTAGTAGCCTTTTTTTTCCTTTTCTCAATAGTCATAATGTTAGTATTTTTTTTCACTGTCTAATAAATTGTAAGAAATTAGTAATCTGTAATGTAAGTGATTGTTACAATGTATGTTAAAACTTGTCTTCAGGTTCTTCATACTGTAAATTATGATTATCATCCAAGGTAAAAATAACACTAATTAATGGAATACTGGAATTCGCCATTAGTCAGTCATTTGTTGTGATTTTTACACTGTACATGTATGTACAGTATTGGAGGCATACATGTACCAATATCAAAGAGTTGCAAAAAGTGGGATTATCAGTTTGCTTGCTTGTTTGTTACAATTATTTAACTATCATTCTATACATGTAAGTACATGTACATGTAAGAAACTACAGTTATAACCGCCATAACTCAAACTCTGAAGGAAAACGGAAAACAGGTCAAGTTAGCAGAGGTTTTTCAGGCCTTAGATTATGAAAGTGTACGGATTTCTTTAGTTGAAGCATGTGAAGGGGTAGGGAAATCTCTCATTTTGGTCTGTAACAAGGCCAAAAGGGCCACCAGATGCATTTTGCATTTATGGCTGTGAAAAAGTTGAGAAAATGTTCTGGTTTTGTAAGTTATTCATATTTTTTAAAAAGACAGTGCATAAATTTACAAAGTTGTAAATTACATGGAGGTACATGTATGTGAAAGAGGCAAAAGGAATGCAAAAGGGGTACATGAAGCTTTTCTGTCAAAAATGGTATACATTGTACAAATGGTGAGGGGTCAGAGTACCTCAGGGCGTGGCCTCCCCATATAAAACTTTGTTTAGTAAACCCCTCCCCCCGGGATGTGTCGGAAATGAAGTTACATGCACATGAAAAATACAGAATCTTGAGACTGATGCATGAATTTGAAAAGCCAAGGAAAGGCAAAATTTAATATTATAAGTCTTCTAGTTGGTAGAATAATAACAATTTAATTGTTTTTAATTTGACTTGTAATATTTTTTATCGTGTTTTTTTTAATTGTTTTGTTTTAGCCTTAAAGGCCTGATTCAAATGTTACACTTCACATGTGCTGAGTGTAAGTCCTACTCATGTATTTTAGTCAACTGAAATAATTAACATACGTGTACGGCTGTTGATTCAGACGTGGGATTTAATCGTACCGATTTTACCACGTAATTTGTTCCCAGTCTTTAAAACAACTTGTTATCCAGTATGGATAATAGTTTCTATAATTAATGCATGATATATACAGTCAACTCTTTCCTTGTAGACACCCAGCTATAATAGACACCTCCATAATATACGGACAGCAGCTAAATCCCAGGCAAAAATAAATCATAAATGTTTGACTGAAATAACCTCGCGCTATTATTGACTCTCACAAATGAGGACACTAACTCAAGGTCCCTGCAGTGTCGGCCATAAAGGGAGTTGACTGTACATATATCCGGCACATGTGAAATGTGACATGTGAATCAAATGTCTTACCTTAGTTGAATCTCAGTCACAGATTCGTCAGATTCGCATTTAATTTTAAACTGTCAAATTTAATGATTCAGACGTCACGTCTCACATGCGGTTAATTCTCAAATTAAATTCGAAATTCGCAGTCCCAATTTAAAAAGGGAGCCAAAGGCCCAACTGGCCCGAGCTTATCCCAGTTTTATTAGCACGAAGCATGCCTAAAGGAGTATTGCCTTTCCCCCTGGACGGGATGCTAGTTCATCACAGGGTTACTCCGGTACCCCATTTTATACACCTGGGCCGGGTTGTTCAAAGAAGGGTTAAGTTAACCCAGGGTTAGCGCGAAATTTGATTTCAGATGTGAAAGCTTGAGAAGCAAATTCAGTTTTATCCTTTTTGCCAACAATTTGATGATTGGATGCTCTAAAAAGAAGAGAGGAAATTATCCGGGAAAATACTTTTGAACAAAAGAAAAAAAACCCGGGTGAAAATTTAACCCTGGGTTAGCGCTAATCGGCCTTCAAACAACTGGGCCCAGGGTGAAAGAGGAGTAAAGTTCCTTGTCTAAAGGTGGAAACAATGCAACAGGCAAGGCTTGAATGCCAGACCTCCAGCTACATGTATTAACTGCTCGGCCACACATGTCACCTGAGCCCCAATATCCACATACAGATTCTCCAAACTGGTCTCTATACATTTCCCTAAATAATATTATTATAAGGTGAGAGTTGATGAAAGACCAAAACATTATATTTTTATTAATTGATCTCAAAACCTTTTGTATTGATGATTATTGTTAGGAGAAAATGGATTGTTGTCATTCTTGGGATTTAAAGGGTTAAAGGGGCCATACATATGCCATGTTATTTGCTGTCTGTTTAAAAAGCTAAAACATGACTCAGCATCAATTGAATTCCAAAAATGGTCCTTTTTTTTAGGACTGTACATGTACATTTAATAGGCATTAAAACTATTTCCTGCTGTTTGTTGCAAGGGATGGAAAAGATGGACGTGGATTGAATCTTAAAAAAAATTGGGGTAACTTTTTCAAGTTTTAATACTACGCCTCCAAAAATCACCACAAATAGTAATAACTATCGTAGTATGGTTTGTCGTCCCTGATAGGATTTGTTTGATTATTTTTCATATCTCTATAAAAGTATTTTTGTATGGGTAAGGGCAGAGTAAGTAAGGACTTAAACACAACATTGATAGCAGTACATGTTTCTTTAAGACATAACCCCTTTGATTCCTTTATTCTTTATCCTTTCATGTAACAAGCAAGTCTGCACAGTGTAAAAACAAAACAAAAAACAGGAAAAAAAGCATTTATTGCAGTGCTGTCCAAAAACATTGAATTTATTTTAAAACAACCGTGTCAACCATGTATTCTTTGTCTTTTATACATTTTTGTAGTCAAGTTCAATTACAGTGTCTAGTCCTGTATATAGTGATCAAGCTTTGTTGTTTGAATTCCTTTTTCAAAATATCATTATAACTTTTCTTGCTTCTGAAGTAAACTTTACATGATACATGTACACTGTACTTGCATTACCTTCCCCATCCCACTTCCTTATTTTTGGTTATTTGCTTCTCGCTCCCGATAACTTGTACTCCTGATAACTGGAATTTTTTTCGATTTCTGGAGAAGGTTTGAGTCACCATAAGTTGACTGTACAGCACATGAAAGGGGGATCTTTTGCCTGGTCTTAAAACCACTGGAACTACATGTATGGATAATGTACTAGAGGCAATGGACAGAAATTATAGCTTCATGCTTTTTGCTTTTTTTCTCTGTAGGAGACGAAATTCCATCAGTGACCGTGCCTCAAATCAGTGTGTTGAGGCAGGGTGAGAGCACCACATTCTCATGCAACCTGACTAGAAATCCAGTTCAAGGAACAGGAACAGTATTGAAAAGAATTTCTTGGTACAAAGATGGGATTTTGCTGGAAAGTATCAGAAACCCTGACCCAGATAAGCCATTAGACACCCTTAGGCCGCTTGTTCTTAAAAATATTGGTGTTAGAGATGGAGGAAACTACACCTGCTCTCTGGAAGTGGCGCTCCGCAATATCAGAATGTACAATGTGTCTGATAGCACCATGGTTGAAAGTAAGTGCACTGTAGACTGACCCTGATGGAGGGTTAGCCCTTGACTGCGATTACAGCCATCTCCCCTCGTTTTCCCCTGCCAGCTGGACATTCCACAGGAGAGATGTCCGTCCCTCAATGACAGAGATTCCATAGTGATGACGTAAAGTCTGTCTGGAATCTGTTTAGGATTTCTGATTAGTTGATGTAGTGTCTGCATCAGTCTGTACATGCACGTAGTACATGTGATGTAGCTATTGTTTACTAGTGACAGACAATAGACAAAAAATCGCAAAGGTCAATAATGAAAGTTCATTATTTTTGGAATATTATCTGTTTATTGAAAAAAAAACAAATTTTTTTTAAGTTTTGCAGAAAAAGTCAAAACTTTACAATATTAGACCAGGAGAAACATAAACTGAGGCAAATTTACATTTGGAACCCCGTGACTACTAGATATAATATTATTTTATTATGTTTTGTTATACAATTTTGTACGTGTATAAAACATTGATTTACGTCACCTGCATGGGATTTTGGTCGTAGCTCAAGATGTAGACCTTCTCTCCCACATAACACTATTCTTGACTAGCAATGAGTAGTGAGGAAAGGTGATGTATTTGGTGATTGTTAAGAATTTGAATTCTTTGGGTGAGAAGTTTATTCTAGACAGTTGTTATCACTTTCATTTAGTTGCTTCTTGGCTGATTAAGTACAAGGAAGATCCTGAATTCAAGAAATTCAAAGGAGACAGTGTATCGTTCGAGTGTCCTGCCAAAGGTAACCCTTTGAAGGTAGAGTGGAAAGTTAAGAAGAAAGGGGAAGATGCCATTACACCGTGTATCAGTAAGTTTACCAGTCATTGATTTTGTTGAAAAATTTTCTTGCAAGGCGCAGATTCCCAAAGTGTTTCTATTTATTATTTTAGACATCAAACAGTCCCCAATTTTTCCTAGGAAGAAAAAACTTGGAGGTGGGGATGGTCACATGCACATTTGCATATTTTATTTTGCTCTCCTTTTTTTATGAGGAAAAATTAAGAATGGACTATTTTTAGTCTACCCAGTCGTGATAGATTGTTTTGAAATTGGTCGTTATTTACCTTTCTCAACGTCATATAAAAGCAACGTACCGAAGGGATAACCCAGTCCTTTTATTTCTAACAGATGGATCAGATGGTAAATACCGTATACATCGCGAGGGAATTTATGAGCCTTATTTCCTGACCGTGAATGACTTGCAGTACTCTGATCGTGGATCTTATTACTGTTGCCTTCCCTCGAACTGCTCGGATAGTGTAGAGGGAGACTGCCAGCGTTTTGTACTTCGGGTTAGAGGTAAGGTTTCTTGTCCTTTAAGCCCAAGAATATCAACACACAAATTCTTCTAACCGACCTCCATAAATTTTTTAGCGGAGCTCTCGCGCGCGAAGCGTGCCAGTGGAGCACCTTGGGTAAGAAAATCAAGTAAACTACGCATCCGAGAAAATTTGGTAATCACGTGACCGTACACCGCCCGCCCGAGAGACCGTCCGTCCGCACCACAGGTATACCAATGTAAAATAAGTCAATCAACAGGTATGGTAACCCAAATGCAACTCGAGGTTATTTTCGCGGGAAATCACATAGCCACCGGCGTCTTGTAAAGCAGAGACAACAAAAGAGTCAATAAAGACGAAAACGGAAAGCGGAAATTGTTTCTGTATTCGTATTGTCTAAAGTATTAAGGTTTAGAGCAAGAGAAAGACTGAGAAAAAGAGAAAGTGGGCGGCAGGCCAGCAAAGCTCAACGAGAAAAAGGGCGACAGGGATTTACAGCGAGAGATAAAAAACAAAGGAGACACTTTTTTGTTGGAAGAACAACATGAAAATTTTGCAGCGGCGGTCAGATGGGAAATGTTAGCGGCCACCAATGCAAGGTGAAGATGAGCGGCAGTGAAAAAAAGTGAACGGGAACACGTATGACATTTCCTCCATAAAACGTGTAACTAAGAAGTTTCTGGAAGTTTCACGTAGTAGTCGTGCAAAACAACGGCAAGGAAATGTACAAAAAAGTGTGCTGCACGTGCAAAGTGGCTTTTGTTGTTTTTCACCGTTTTCCGGCGTTGCATGCCTTCGCCGCTTAGCATTACACGATTTTATATTTTGTTTGAATAAACTATAAATATTATCGAAAGCTTCGCGTTTAGCCCTGGCTAAATCTATATTATTATCAACGTTTTAGGTTATCATTGTCTTAAATCTCATGACGACTTTCCCTAGCTACCGTAAATCCGCTATTAAACCCTCCGGGGGACGTATTTATTTCAAACACATTTTTTTTGGGTGGTGGGGAGGTGGTATTTAATTGAGGAAAGATGATGGTATCAGTTCTCCATCAAGAACTATATTGCAAAGTGGATAAGCTCAAGTACAAGAAGTTGGAGGTCGTGCTTACAGTTGGTGAATATACCATTCCGGATCAGAGTTTTACAGTCTTGATTGTTTAATACAGTCTATCATTTATGAGTGAATAATAATAAAGGGGAGGGGAGGGTCTTAAAAGAAAGAGGGGAGAGCTTATTAACCTTCTTCCCCAGAAAAAAGGGGGGGCTTATTAGAGAGAGGGTCTTACATAGAGGATTTAAGCTATGCGCTGGTACTTTTAGGAGAAATTTAATACTGGCCATTAGTTGTGTTTTTGCTGGTCATTACTGGCGCTTTTCAGTGGGTTAAAAGACTTCTTGCTTATTACTGCATTTCTACTGATTGATTGATTGATGTGATGGGATTGGCAAATGACTCAGGCAAATACGAATTACCAGTACATGCAAGTACTTGCTGAAGGTTCAAACTAACCTGTGATCAGGCGGTCCTTCCCCATCTGCCGACGCTATCCCCGAAAAAAGAACGCCTGAACACAGGTTAGTTTGAAACTGACACTGTTGCGCTGATTGAAGCTCTTGATTTTCTTTTCAGATCCTCTGGGTCCACTGTGGCCTGTTATCGGCATCATCATTGAAGCCATTGTGCTTTTCCTGATCATTTTTATCGCAGAGAAGAGGAAGAAGAAGCGAGAAGGAGGTGAAGAAAAAATCATGTGGAAAAAAGTTTATCTTTACCACTCTTCCTTCCTTCCTTCCTTCCTTCCCCCCCCTCCGTTCTTACCTTCCCCGCTCCCTGCTTCCCTCCCTCTCTCCCTTCCTTCCTCCCTTCCTTCCTTCCTTCCTTCCTATCTCCTTTCCTCCCTCCCTGTCATCCTTCCTTCCTTTTTCACATCCTTCCTCCCTTCCTCCCTCCCTCCCTCCCTCCCTTCCTTCCTTTTTCCTTCGTTCCTTCCTCCCTCTCTCCATTGCGTCCTTCCCTCCTTCCTCCCTCTATCCCTCGTTAGCCTCCTTCCTTTCTTCCTCTCTTCCTCCCTCCTTTCCTCCCCCTCCCTTCCTTCGTGCGTCCCCCCTCCATTCCTTCCTTTCTTCCTTCATATCTCTATTTTCTTTACTTACACTGTTCAGCCCTTCTCTTTATTTTTGTTCTAAATTTATAGCAGTACAGTGTATACTGTACAAGTTCTTATTATTCTTCACTGTTTGTTTTTCATGTTATTTGACCTGATTGTTGCTGACTTGAATTTACAGTTGATAGGTAAGTGCTTGTTTCTGTTTTAAACGCCTTTATGGAAGCGCAGAAGATTAATTTGATGAAACGTGTAGAAGTGGTCCTACTACTTCTACGTTTTCTTTTTGAGCGCTGTGTAATTCTTCTATCCACTGTCTTTCTGCTTAATTTAGCATTTATTTAGAATCACGTTTTCATGTATGGCAAAAGTCAATTTATACCAAGTTAATAAGTTGTTTTCTTTTTACTTGTCGTTGTCTGTTTTAACGTATATCTACTTAAAAATAAGGACTTTCATGTCGGTTTATCCACAAGGATTATATCGGATAGTTTTTTACAGTAGAACCTCGGTCAAACGAAGGGTCTAGGAACTGGCAAAATTATTTTGTTCTCTATAACGAGATTTCGTTATATTGAGGTTCTTTTTTCTTTTGCTGGAGTAAAGAAAATCCAAGAATAGTGTTGATGATGTATCTCTTATCCTACTTATCACCTTGAATCTTTCGATTTCGAATTGCCATAAGTTTGATTCTAATTCTTCTTTTTCTGTTTCTTATTTTTTCAGACAAGACGGGCGCGTAGAGTTCAGCTTCAGTTCCACAGATGACGGAGACAGGGGTCAAGTACGCCTACGCAAAGTTAATGAATCTACCGTTGCTTGAGGTCCATGTTATAGCGTCACGGGTACTCAGAAATCTCTAGATATCTACTCTAATGTTCTGATACAATGAAACACTAATCATTTTATTACGACTGTATGAGTTGTGGAAAGCGACAACTGAGTGTTTTTAGGAGGGGCGCACGATACTTTACTGCTCACTTATCTCATTATATAGCAAGAAAAAAAGTTAAATTTAAAAGGAAACGCTGTAGTGAGAGCATGATAACTCATAGCATGCTATCCAGCGGCTTTCTACTTGCACTCGCGACTCGAAAGTGCCCCTCGGAATGTGGACTAAATTAGGATTTTTCTGTTTACTACAAAAAATGAGGTCTGGTTCATTAGAGAATATAAAATGAGAATCGTTCATGGAGTAATCATAAATCTAGTCAAAGTCCAGTCTACTGGCTAGCGCACTTAAGAGTACTCAGTTGTAGCCGTTCTTGTTCTTGTTTTTTGTTCGTTTTTGGTTGTGAAGCGTAGCTGTAAATGTTGAAACCTTTCTTTTTACCTCTGGTACTTACTTATTTTAACCTCTCCAGTTGAATCTTTTTTCACTATTTGTTTTTAAAGCATTAATCACACATTAAAGAGTTTGCCGAGCCCGAGTTTTGCAATTTATCGAAAGAGGCTGTCTCAAAACCTGACCATCATGCAGTAATCGTGCAAAAAAATCACTTTCGGTACCTTCAAAGATACGGTACGAATTTGCAGGGTTTTTTCACCTTATTTGGGTTTAGCACGTGCTTGGTGATACTTAGCAATAGAGCGTTTTCACATGACGTCACGGCGGCCATATTGGTTTTCCAAGTCGACGATGAAACGGCGGCCATGTTGGTGTACCCAGAAAATCCTCTGGGAGTTGAACTCTTTTCTCATGTAAATGTTTTCTTTTGCTCCAATAAATTAGCACAGATGCTGGTCACGTGAGTGAAAACGCTCTATTGAGGGATGCAGAGAAAAGAGTGATTACTGCCTCAAAGTGGAGGCCACTCGTTTCACGCACAATGAACCACTCCCTTTGTTACAGGAGCGCCTTGCCTTGTATGAAAACGTTTTTTTAATTAAAATGATTATTTATCGGTCGAAAGTGTGACCTAAATGGAGACGTATCTTGTCAACAATGTTGTTTGGACTTTGCTGAAGATACAGTTGTCAGGATGGTCTTTTTATCGTGGTTTGATTTCGTGCTTGGTTCAAGTTCTGTTTTGTTGCCATTAATTTAGTCCGTCTAAATTGTTGCCCTGTACAAAAGCGGCAACAAAAAACAAAACTTGAACCCAGAAATAAAAAGTGATAAGCCACAACAAACTGTATACATGCACGTATTCTGTACGGATACTGGTGCATGCATGTGATTAGACAAGTTTAAATCTTGGAATTTCTTACTCCGGTTAGTGACAGCAACGCTCCTTGTCGCTTCCTGGGCCGGGCAATTGAATGGAGTAAAAAGACATGCTGTCTGCAGGACTCGACAAAAGTCTTGTCTGTTAGTCTGTAACAAGCAGATTTTCTTTCTGGGCAAGTAATCACTTGGCCGTTGGTCAAGGGCCCGTTCAAGTCTATTGTAACTAAAGAAGAAACCAAGGCAAGGATGCAACTTCCCCGGACAAGCAAAATTTGAGGACTGCACTTCCAATTCAATTTTGTTTTGAATTGTTTTCTAGGCGGACTACTTCTTGCATTAGAGACGTTACGTCATCACGTTTACGTCAAACGGCAAACTCTAGTTTGTACCACGTGACCAAGTTTCCCCTTTACTTGTCGTTTCCTGTTCATTATTTCTACACATGAAAAATTAGTAGTTTCACGCAATTTTTTATTCGTAGGAATTGTTTTGAGCTGTTTTTATCTGCTTATTTTCTATTTTGAGAAATTCTCAACCTGAATCTCACGTTTGCCGTTTGCCATATATGTGAAGCTCAATCTCTCTATTACTTCATTAACCGACGAATCTGTTGGAGGGCCGTCATAATCTTTTCCGACTGAATATGAAGAACCGGAAATTGGTCGGTTGATGTTCACGAGGTAGAAATAGTGCTTGTCTCATTGGCTATTGCAGTTCCATTTTTTTCGTTTGCTTGTTTAAAAAATTTCAAGAAAATAATATCAGGAAGCGCAAATGTAGTTTTGCGCATTTGTCAAGGTTTCTGGAAGTCTGATGAACTGTTTGTTATTTTTGTCACATTTTTTTTTTCTATAGTATTATTTGTCGTTTCATATTGATTATTCCCTGTTTATTGCTGCGGCAAAATATTGAAAAAAGAAGGCCGTGCCATGTATTTTATCGCTTGGATAATCTAAACGAGTGAGCCTGTCTATATGATACGGTGTGCCTATGCGAAATCGATGTACTATTTAGCAAGTGTAAGACTTCTTACCATCGTCGTCAAACAATATATTTAGGGACGAATTGAATATATTTAATTACTGTTGTAATCGTTTACCTGCTGTAACTTGATAGAGTTATTTAGTTGCGAATTGATGCATCGAGTAGAAAGCTAGAATAAATATCAATTTCAACAACGTTGAATTTTGTTTTGTTTTATGCCTGTTTTGGATCATAGAACTCTGTTCTAACCGCTGCCATCTAGTCAAAACCCCTTTTCACTTCAAATTACATGAGATGAAACACACAGTTGGACCCTCCGTAAGCGACCACTCAAAATGCGAAGAGTTCCTTGTCGTTTACGGGAAGTGGTCGCTTAAGAGAGTTGAACTGTAGGAGGTCTTTTACGAGGAAAAGTCCAAACACGTCAAATTTTTGGAAGGAATGTACTGCATGCAATTCTTAGGTTACAATTTAAACCATGTTTTTCCTAAAAGTTCTTTTCAAACTGTGGGTTGTATAGTCCATAAGCACTACCTAGATCTGGGTAGTGACACGTCATCAGTATGGAATTTCTGCGCTCTTCCTCTGACGTCATTTCGGAGGGCGTCGTGAATCTCGGGATTATTCTCGTCCTGCGCGAAATCAGATACAGTGAAATTAAACATTTGCAAACATTTCCGTCTTCATTCGTCCACACGAGCCCTTTTCGATGAGGATTTTTTTTAGAGGAGGGGTAGAAGAAAGGCCAATCGATCATAAAAGAGAGAAAAGAGAATAAAACGATTCAAATAAAAGCGTGTACATATGGATTATTCGTTTACAATCTTTCACAGCGTTGGGGCTCGTGGTCCGCGAAGAAAATGCAAATTTTCTCCATTTTTCATTTTCTTTTTACCGCAGCCTTGCATATCTACGCGCCATCGCGCTGCTAGATAGCTTAGATAAATGAAGATTTTTATTGAAAAGGAAATGGGTTCATTTAAAAGGAATTTGCTAGACTAAATTTAGAAGATTAAATATGAACGCTCAAAATAAATCGTAAGGGCATTTTTGATTTCGTGTCTTTAGTAAACGAGATTTATAGTTATGAAAATTAAATTTTTAATAAAATATGGGTCTCTTTTCTCGACCAAGAATTCAATTCAATTTGCCTTCTTTTGTTGTTGAATTGACTCAATTGTGTACTACCAATCGTCTTTTTTCGCTTGTCAGTGTTTATACAGTTAGGAAAAACATAATACGGGGAAGAAATGCCCCATTCTTTAGACAGATTTTAAGTCCTTTAATATCTTTTTCTAACTTAATGATATTTTTAATAACAGAAATTGAAGTGATCGATATCAAATTTATCTACCAACCGACGAATCCACGGATTCAGTGCTTTGTCGTCTTGGAAAATTATCTTCTTTTTTAAGGGAAAATAACTTATTACAATATCCGCCTTGAGTCATTTACTATTGTCTATTTAGATATTGTGATGTGCATCGCTTGGGTAGAAAATGTCAACAATCATCGCACAAAACAACAACAAATTAAAAGCAAAGTCCCTGAAAAGTAAAGTTTGGGAGATCAAACGCGCAAAAAGCTGCGAGTTGAAATTCTACAGTGAAGAGGGCGCGGGCTATTAAAATGTAAATAATGTTGAAGTTTAATTTGCAGTACATTGAGCTCAAGATCAAAGGATTTCGAATCAGGAATTTTATTGGTAGTTTATCCTTTTGATTGACTTTGCGAAAATGACAAACAATGCGCAATTTCAATGCGTTGGCCAAAATATTACTTACGCGCATTTGAAAAGGAAAGTAAAACTGAGAGAGAATATAGAACTATGGACTTCATAAAAATCCCACACTTCGATAAAAAGATGTAAGAAATATAATCAAATAAATACCTGAATGAATAAATGGGAAAACAAGATTTACTGGCGTCGCTGTTTTAAAGCAGCGCGCGCATTTGGCCAAGTCAACGCTTTTTCGAACGCCAGCAAAGATCGGCAGTTTTCTTGTTGCAATAATTATTATTCTTGTTGTTAAATCACTTCGAGATACTCGGCAGGGAAGCTGATAATAGCACGAATTCGTCGTTCTTTTAATGTGCGGTCGATACTTTTACATTTTTTCGATTGCTATGACGGATCGAACGTGAGATATGAAATTTGCTCATTAGGAACGCCATTCTGCCGCAGCATTCGCTCAAATCCGTGATGTCGCAATCAGCATTCGCACGTCATGTTAAAGTCTGAAGGTAAAGGTGTTTGGATTGTGCCAGAAAGGCGTAAAATGTGTTTGATGAAAAGCTAAGGGTAAAGAAGAATATTTTGAACTTTCTCGAAAAATGAGGATTTGTTTGAGTAAGGCCAAAGCTCTGAGAAATTATCACAAATCTTCGCTTCATCTCAAGAAATGAGTGATGCTCGCAGGATACCAACGGATCCTGACGGGCAGAATGAACCTTGTGATACGTTTGTCGATCGCAAATTTCAACCTGATCAATCTTGTGACGAGATTGCAGTGCCGATAACTGAGAAGACAGATGAGGACGAACAATATGCTGAACCAGAAAATGGCACTGAGGACATTTCTTCAGCAGGAAAAAGGGCCAGTCAGTGGTCCTATGGCACCGAAAATTCGATTTTATCCTCGCACCTAAGTCTGCAAGCACTTAACGCGTTGAACGATAGAAAGACTCAAGAAGAAGATCGAATTCACAATCGTGAAGAAATACTGCTTTACGAAACCGGGCAGTCAGATGAAAATGCGGCTGGAACAAGCGACGATGTTTTCCGCGAGTATGATGCAAGTTTCAGCAGTCCGCTTTTAAATGGGCATATAGTGGATAATGATGCAAATATCAAAACAGAAAAACCACAGGAAACTAATTCAGAAAGGAAAAACAATTGTTCGAATAAACGCAAGAGATTATTGTCATTTCTTAAGAGGAAACCTCGAGCCCAAACATCACCCGAAGATTTCACCCCATCATCCAACGGCGACGTTATCATTAAGATTGAAACACCAGAAAACTGTTCAGGCCGACATCGATCCAGGCAGAAACCTTGTATAAATACCCTATTGCGAAGATGGCTTCAGCCTATGGACAACAAATTAAATATAAAAGTGTTTGGAAGTCGAAAAGCAATGGACGAAGAACTTTTACGTTACAAAAAAGCAGGATGGATAATTCACCCGACAAGTGCCTTCAGGTTAGAAATTGACATTATTTTTTTATTACTGCCCAAAAAAAGATAAGAAAAAATGCTGTTATTTTCGACACAACGCTTTCCTTTACTTCGCTTTGATTCCGAATTTAATTTTTTCATTATTTCAAGACGAAAATAGCAGTTATTTCTAAGGAAATCATTTGTTTTAAATATTAATCAAGGAAGTCTCGATCAATAGTCATGTTAATTTTTTTAGATATGTTTAAATATAAAATACGACAGAGCATTTTTTTTTGTTGCATCACCGCAAATCCCATTTCATAAGTAGACGACAAGTTAAATTTTACGGGCGGTGAAATGTAGTTGCAATCGATTCGCCGTGGTTTTCGTTTATTCATTTAGGTGATTTCCGCAGTTTAATCTTAAATTTTAATGAACTCTTTCAGGACAATCTAAAGTCGCTATTAAGCAGTTGCACCTCTGCCAAAAAATTGTCATTAATCATTAACGTACGAGACAACAAATCACCGTATTTTCGCCATTTGTACTCATTCCTGGACTCCAAATTTAGACGGCAAATTTTTGACATTACTTCCAAAAATGTTTGTTTTACTCTTGGAAGGATAACCAAGTACAGGGTAATGAACCAAAAAATAATAATCATTCCAGAAAAGAAACTTTAAATTTCCGACCAGGAAAAGTGTTTTTAAATCCATGAGCGATTTCTTGACCCCCAGCTGTGTACTATGCGTTATGCAAATTTTTAATTATCACTGAAAATCCTTTGGAAACAATTTCGTGCACCTGTTATCTTTGACGCTTACCAAAGTCACTTATCTGCAGATGGGTTGTTTTAGCTTTTACTTATTTTTTTTTCTTTAAAACCGATGGTGGTAGAAATCCCTGGGATTAAGTTTCTAAGCTGTTATATTTTCGATAAAAATCAGTTCGTCTTTCATCTCATTTCACAGCAGCACAATAAAAAAATTATTTAATCTTGAACTCTATAGCTCTCGATTATGTCCTTCATAAGTGTCTGAACGTACTATGCAAATTGATAACAATGACTATACTAAGAAATAAAAAAATAACTTGAAGTACGTCCCGGGTTATTTTATCCCCCCGAATAGCTATCCGTATAATTGATTTAACACACTTTTCTTGACTTTGGAAGTGTGAAGTGGTAGAAGTGGTGCCCTTTTTTTTGCGGGAAAAGGTGACTGCTAAAACGACTGCTGGTGATTTTTGATCTAAAAGCAAAATATTTCTGTGATTATAATCCTTTTCAACTAACTAAATTGAGAAAGAAAAAATGCAGCTCAGTTGATTTGTCTTATAGACGGTTATCCTACGAGTCAGAATCTCTATAAGAGCCGGCTGACAATAACTAGGAAAATCTCTCAGAGAATATTATTCGAGTGTCATATTTTTTATCATTTTATTTTTTATTTAGTGTTTATTTATTATTATTATTATTATTATCATTATTATTATTTATCTGTATTTGTTTATTTTATTCGTTTTTGCTGACATGATTTAGAGAAAAACTAAACTATTAACAGTGATCACCACTGCTTGTACCAACGACCTTTCAAATGAATGGATGAATTTTCTCCCAATCAGGTTTAGCTATATGCTTCTCGATAATGAAGAGGGTTTCTCCAGCAAAAAATCTTTTGTGTGTTTGAATTAACAGGAATTTGCGGAAAAGGCACCTTTGACTAGCCAACTACTAAGTCAGCTCGGCAAAAAAGCGAGAGAAACATTCCATTACTTACTTCACAGGAACTTTTTTTTATTCTAGGCTCTACTGGGATCTGATGATTCTCTCCTTGTTGATCGTGAACATGTTTGTATTACCAGTAGCCATTGCCTTCTTTAACGACGACCTGAGCCCTTCGTGGATCGGCTTTAATGGCGTGTCTGATGGAGCGTTCCTCCTGGATATTTTACTGAACTTTAGAACAGGAGTCATTGTTCTCGGCACACCAAACAAGTTTATTCTGGATCCTAAGCAAATTGCCGTACGGTGAGTGAAAATGTCATATTAATAATTTAAAAGACTATTATTGTCCTTGCAAAAGTTTCATAGACCACTGCAAGGGCAGATACATGGTGTGGTCTGTGTATTAGACGAAAGATCTAGTTTTCAGTGCAGGATTTAGCATCTATAATGCTGTCGAGCCCCCTTATATGGCTCCACCCTGTTGAAAGCACCTACCCAACACAACAAAATCAGTGCTCACCTGTCAACGCCGGCACTACGAGACACTGAGCACCTCTCGCTGGCAACTTACGAATTTAAATATTCCTGATGACAGGATTCAAGAACTCTATTAGGGCCTTCTAAAAATAAGGTCCCATAACCCCAAGTTAGTAACTCCCGTTAGGCCCATGTCACGGCACTTACACAGATCAGTTTATTTTTAGATATATTTTAGCCTGCGTAGCAAGCGTTTCCGTTTGGTTTCGGAACAAAGAAAGACCGAGGAACGGGATTTTCGGTTTTGGCCGGTCAAGAATTGTTCCTTCCCTTTCTTCCCCACCCCCTCCCCGCTCTTTTACTCTTGCCATTTTTCGGGCGGCATTTGACTCTCGTTTCTTGTTCTTTGCTCCGAAAATACAGGGAAACGCTTGTTACGCAGGCTAGATATATTTTACAGCACTTCTTCCCGCGCAAAAGAAAGCTCTGCTCCGTCTATTAGGGCATTCCAAATGTAAGATGTAAAAACAGAAAAGGTCCATTAAAAGGTCAACAATACCTTTTTTAGGTTTGTAGATTTTACTGATTGGTTTGTGAGACTTGGAATGTATTCTAACTTGAACTGGTCAATGGAAACGCCGTGAAACGAGTACATGAAAGTTGCTGCTAGCTTCGGCTTATGGGCTCCTGTGGAAAGACGCCGTAAAATTGAAAACCAGTAACTCGATGAAATTATAATTGAAACTTAAAAAAGAAAAAAAAAATGAAAATTAAATCGACGGTTATACTAAAAGAAAGAGATTAGTAACGTACTACTCGCAGCTCTTCACTGATCTGTCAATATCCACCAGGCCCCTCTTTAGTTTCCTTATCATGTTCGTATTAATTCAAGTTTTGCGGGTTACCATTTTGCCTTTTCTTATGTATCGTCGAATTAAAAAGAGAATATGCAATGAATAACCCACCAATGTACATTTAGTCAAATCTATTAACAATTTGCCCCCTAACAGAAGACAATTATGAAAATTGATAAAAAACCCAAATTCCATTGGGTAAAATACAGGGAAAACCAATATTATCATATCTCTAAAGAGACTTCATTAAATGGTCAAACCAAAAGAATTCATCCACACAGCCTTAAAGGTTAGTTTGGAGGACTTAAACTGATGGAAAATATATCTCCAAGAGGAAGCTCGTGACAATGAGAAAGAGAAAGAGAAAGAGTCTGGCATGAACTGAGCGAGAATCGTTAGAAAATTACTCATCTTTAGTGATATTGTACAGTTGTTGTACCATGCTTTCCATTTAATATTGGAAAGATGCAACCCTTGCATTACTTGGCATAATATTCATCAGTTTATTCTTTTCTTGAAAAAAATGTCCCGGATGTTGTTTTTGCTGAATGTTCGGATATAGATTGCCACCAAAGTTGCATGAAAAACTGCCATTATGTAAAATATGTCACAAGCTGTCGAGGCGATTTACTTTTTGGCCTTCTTAGGGTATAGGCCCCACTTAGACAATTCGAAAACGCTTTTTTAAGGCGAAAAACGGGAAAATGGCTCGCGGCTGTAATGGTAGCCGGCGATTCCTCTGCCAGAGACGGCGGAGCAGGGGTTAAGGTTGTTAGACCGATTCTCGTATGACCTTGAAATGAAAACGCGCGAGCAAAACAGAAACAACAAACAAACGGTAATGGAGCGATTTGATTGGTTTGTCGAACAGTTACAAACGTGCGCGGTTTTTGGTTAGTTAAGCGAACGCTCGGGTGAAAAAACTTCATGCTCGAGAAACCTTCTAGAAATCAACCGATACTTCGCTTTGACATCATACTGCAACACGATTGACCAATCGAACAACGCCTTCTCCATATTAGGGTTTTCTTTGGCGGGAAAACGAAGAGGCCATGTTTTGATCTTTTCATCTATTGGGTGATAAAACAAATAACGAACACTTACCGAAACGATTTTTCAAGGTCATACAACGAAAATCGCTCTTCCAAAATTCGACAGGTGCCGTGTGAACGCTTCCCAATAAAAATAATCAAATTTATCATTTGACAATGTCGTTGATAAATTAATAACTTGTACAATCACTTTTAGCTCAGTAATTCATATTCGTTTATTTCAGATATGCAAAGACCTGGTTTTTAGTAGATCTCATATCATCCTTCCCGTTTGATTACGTCGTGTCGTCGGCCACAAGTTCGGGTTCTGGAAGATTATTCGGCGCTTCAAGAGCGCTACGTATACTGCGCATGGCTAAACTACTAAGTCTACTTCGCTTGTTACGAATTTCGCGTCTGGTGCGTTATGTTCATCAGTACGAAGAGGTATGTGTAAGCTCTATTAAACGCTAGTGTTACATCAAATCGAATCTACTTAATGAATAGACTGATTGCCCTTAAGGGTGGCACAGTTGGTTAGTGGGTAGCTTCCCACGCAGGCGTTTTTAGGGGAGCTCGTATTTCGTCCCTTCCCACAAACGCCTGCTCAACCGAGGACAACATTCTTTTCCCACGCTTCGCCAATCACGTTGTACTTTCCAAATTCTACAAAATTGACCTTGACCGCAGGGTAACCCGATAATTACGCGATCTGCGGGAAACTTCGAGAAACCGTCATGATCTCTAATAAATGTTAGACTCAGAGCCGCAAAAGTGAGATTTACTCAGTCAGATTTTAGAATTCTCCGTGCGAAGGAAGGAAAAGAAGGAAAGAGGTAACTCTAGGGTCACGTTCTGGGTCACGTTTTTACACTACCACGAGTCTATGAGTCGTGTACATGTTTAGCCTGTCAACACTTTATTTCAAAACTGTTGATTGGTTACTTACCACGCGAATATAACAATGGGAATGGAATGTTGTCCTCGGTTGAGCCGGCGTTTGTGGGGAGGGAAGAAATACGAGCTCCTTTCGGTGCACGTGCAAGGTCCTGAGTTCAATCCCCGGCGACATCACATCCTTGTTCTAACTTCTCTCCTTTCTGTGTAACTTTGAAACGCTTTAAACACCCTTAAAAGGGAGCATTGATGTAGAGAGGCAGGGGCGGACGGAGGATTCTGTGATGGAGGGGGCCTAGAGACATAGTATGTAGTATACAGTGGCAATATGGGCGTGATAGCGACCGTAAGGACTACGAACGGCGCATTTTACTAGGGAGTTTCGGGCGCATGCTCCTCCAGGAAAATTTTGGGATCGAAGTTCTCTGAGATGCAATTTAGTGCATTCTGGACGCTGAAATTTAGCAAATTCCTGGATTCCATATTGAACATGTAATGCTGAAATCCACAGGTGTGGTTGTGGTCAAAGAAGTAATTAACACTTTATGATGCTAGCAGGGGCCAAAGCGATTGCGGCGAGAGCACAACCTTCCGGGAAAGGTGACAACATTGTCTCTCTGAAAAATTGTCAAATCCAGTTTGTTTGAGACGGATATTTACTGTATGCATTTTGGGAGCTTTGGTCATTTGCGACTAAGAATGCAGGCTTCGAACACGATTCTTTTCTTATTAAAAATGTTTATTGAAGAAAATATATCGTAGTAACAAAGCTCGAAGTACCATCCCACACACGTTTACAAAAGAAAAAAATTCCTAGGACAAAAGGGGGGGAGGTCCGGGGCCCCCAGGGCCCACCCCTAAATCCGCCCTTCAGAGAGGGGGGCAAAATGAGCGCACCGTCGACCTCAAGTTTATTGCTTCAATTATTATCCCGAGTTATCGACGTAAAATGTAGTTGCTCTACCTTTACCTATACCTTTAAACGCAAGCAAACCAAAAACGGAAACACAAGGTAAGGAGGTTAATAAAGCCTTTGCACGACACAGTTACCTTAAAATCTCTGCAAAAGACATGAGACCCACACCTTAGAGTTCTACTAAGTGGGAAATTGTGCTTAAGAACCTTCGCAAGACACAGCTGTCCTATATTGGCCGAGGAGCACCCTTCCCCACCTCCTCACTTTAGCATCTTATAAAAGGGTCGACGAGTACAAGGTTAATAACGATCGGTTAGGGCCTGTTTACATGATGGTGAGGGACCCCGGGTAGGTGAGGTAACATGTGGCAGGTTACCTCACTTAACATGTAAACGTGCATGATCAAATTAAAATGAGAGCTTATATGGACAGGCGGGTTACCCCTCCCAAACAAGTCACCTCACCTACCTGGCGTCCCCCACCTCCATGTACACAGGCCCTTAGTAACCCTTTTGTGATGTCAGTATAAAACGCGCGTAGGATTTTTCAGCTGACTAACTTTAGTCGCACCCGCAGCGACACCTGCAAATTAAACCTAGCGTCAATCCCTGCAATGTCGTTGCATAGTGAGCCGTGTACTACCGGTTGTATTTTACACTGGCAAATGAGTGTTGTGGGTTGCCATGGCGTGACAAGAGAGTCTTAAATATGACGCATCATAAAAACAATGGAAACAAACAAATAAACAAATTTAGGTTATTGTGACGGCCATAGAAGAAGGCGCCACTAAAAGCGCTGCTTAGACCGTTTTGTGCTTCCCTTCCATGTACACTTGCATATCAGTTTGGGTCATGATCAAGCTGACCCTACTTTGCATTGATTAGTTTTGCGGATTATTTCTACATGTTCACAGGTTCTGAACGTAACGCGCTCTGTCATACGGTTTATAAACTTGATTAGCTTGATGTTGTTGGTGGCGCACTGGAATGGGTGCATGCAATATCTCGTACCAGTTCTCAACGACTTTCCAGATGACTCTTGGGTAACAATTCACGGATTACGGGTAAGTTTGGTGCCCGCTGTCTTATAATGGGCCTTTTCCGAGTTGCCTTAAGCCTCTGTTTCAAAGCGAGGCTCAGTGCTAAGCCATTGAAATGAACACTAAGCTCTCGAAAAGAGTTGTTCTATTGGGTACCGAAAAAAATAGATAAACGACCCAAACAATTTTCCCAGCCCTAGGAGAACAAGGCATAATAAAAAATAACAAAGGACCTAATATAGATCCCTAGGGAACCCCACAGGAAATAAGTTTCACAGCAGATGCCACTTCAAAGGCCATTAAAAATTATAGAGTTTTCTGAGAGCTTCGTTGCTCCAGTTTGTAATGGTATGTGTTTTAAAATCTTTGCGTTACGCCGACTTAATGTCACAAAGGATTCACTATTTCTGCGTTTCTTGTTTTCCTGGCTAATGTACCCTGTGGTGGCTTCTCCTAAAATGTATTGCAATTGCGTTGGGTATAAGCAAATAGAGCTGGGTAACTCCTTCTAAAAAGGTTCAGCAGTTACGGTGCAAATTAAAGTACAAAACTGACAAGCTATTAATGAAAATTTATGATCCATCAATGTGTCAAAATAACAGAAGATAAATAAAACCAACAGAATTGGAATGGTAGTGTATACGTAGCTCTCATAAGTTATTTAATAGCTTCAGTTTATCTGACTGCAAGAGCTCAGTCATTTAGCGCATAAAAATGTGTTGCTGTTGTCTAATTTTAGGACAAGTCGTGGACGGAGAAGTACTTATGGGCGCTTTTCAAGGCATTGTCTCACATGCTATGCATTGGTTATGGAAGGTATCCGCCTCAAAATATCCCAGAGACGTGCATTACGATATCAAGCATGATGACTGGTGCTACATTTTACGCTCTGTTCATCGCCTACTCCATCAACGTTATACAGACGATGGATTCGCCTGGCCGGAACTACAAGGAGAAGGTAAGGGCCGTATTCACTGCTCATCATCATCATCATCATTATCACGATCACTATCACCACCACCTGTACCACCACCACCACCATCATCACCATCATCCTCATTGTCATTGTCATCGTTATCGTCATTGTTTTACTTACCATAGTAAGTCAACCACGGCTTTTTGGATTCTTTTTATGAAATATCACTTGGTAAGTTTTCCATCGCACTGACGACACAGCCTCGCGCGTTGTTGTTGCTGTTGTTGTTTTCTTTTGTTTGTATGTTTTTTAACTGCATTTTTCACGTTAAGCTCGCACATGCTCAGAGACTATCTCTATTTTAATTAATTACCGGCGATCAAAAAATTACAATGGAACCTCGATATAACGAAGGGTCAAGGGACTGGCAACATTTGCTCGATATAACGAGGTTCTTTTTCATATGTTTTACTACTAGTGGGGTAAAGAAAATCGTTCGTTATAACGAGAACTTCGTTATACAGAGGTTCATTATATCGACGTTTCACTTTATTGTAGCATTAACTGTTTTATGTGCTATTTTTCAACTAAACTTGCAATGCGAACCATGTATACACTCTGATACTTTTCAAGTAAAAGTGAATTTGTTTTTATCCAATCCATAAATCGTTTACTGCGACAAACCAGCCCACCTGCTGCTCACTTGTTCCCGATATCCCTTTTTGAAATATACATGTGTTACTTACAAGAATCTATCTATCAATTGGCCACCAGCTCAAACAAATTGAAGAATACATGTCTCATAGACGGCTGCCTGTCTCCCTCCGAGATAAAATTACGAAGTACTACGAGCACCGCTTTCAAGGAAAACTATTTGATGAGGAGAGGATACTCGCAGAAGTGTCTCGACCATTGCGAAAAGTAAGCATAATCATGAAAGCTAGAAAATTTCCACTCAAAAATCTACCAATGTCGCTATTGGGCGTGTTGAGACTTGAAGTGATAGTTAAGTAGGGTCGAGTGAAGGACGGGGAAGGGGGCTGGGGGAAGGGACTTGGAGATAAACACCGCGGTGAAAGCTAATTCTTTGGAATTGCTATACTAGGGGGTATAAAAAGGATACTTTGCTAAGATAAGATAAGATAGGATAACTTTATTATATCAGTTCAGGATATCTCCAATGATAAAAACTATTTACAAAATTCAGTGGCGGACCCAGACTTTCAGGGAAGGGGGTGGTGGTGGTGGTGGTGGAGGGGGGGGGAGGGGGGTATGGGCAGTCATTCAGACCCTGAGAAAAGTGGGGGGCGGCTTCCCCAAAACTTTAGTTGACCCTTCGGGCCTCAGTTTGTTCTAATAATAAGGAGAGGGCCCGGGCTCCCCGGGCCCCTCTCCTGGATCCGCCACTGAAATTATTTATAATCACGTAAAATTAAGAGAATTTTAAAAATATTGTAAAAAGGCTAAGACTAGGGTATATATGTGCAGTATATATATACAAAAAAGAAAAACATAATAAAATTTAAAACAAGACATTTCCCGCATTACAATAACGCGATTAACTAACAAATAATTCACATGTTCACTTTTGTCGCTAATAATATATGTTAAATACATTCTAGCTCCCGTCTTTTTTTGCAAAATATCATGGACAGGTGCTTGGAAATAGCCACCGTTTTGATTTTATTGTAAGCGTATGATGATATTCCGTCCAAAGCTTGTTTTTGAACAGGTCTCCTGTCAGTTTGCGACGGTCGGCTAAATTTCTAACCTTAGGGGCACACCTGTCAAAGCTTGTCCGTCAACCAAAAAGGTTTTCAAAACCTCGGCGGTAGTTTTGAGACTAATAGTAACTTTGAACATGATTGTAACTCTAGTCTTCGTGCGAGATGCCTAATTGCTGCGAGCCCCCGGCAGGCGAGCAGCAAACTAATCTTTTGCAGGGGCTCATGTGGTTGGGTCTTCTGAGGTTCCTTGGGTGTCCTGTCAAAGACCTCATGATTTTAGGACTATCTCTTGTAACCCTGTTTCCACATCTATTAATTAACCTGATAAGCAATGTTAATGCCAGTTTATCTTTTCTCAGTTGATGTTTTATTGTCAAGCATCTGCTCGCAGCATTGTACTTACAATTTGTAACCACTAGTACAGTAAAAGTTACGATCATACTGCCTAGAAATTCACTTTGGTCGATTTGATCGATTCGTTGTAGTGCCCTTTACAATTTTTTTCACAAGTAAGTTTAACATCGTCGTGTTTACCTAGACTTTTTACGCTTTTCTCCTTTTTGGCAGTCAATTGTCAATTACAACTGCCGAGACCTCGTGCGCGCCGTACCGTTTTTCTTCGACGCTGACCCGGACTTTGTGACCGCTATAATAACCAAGCTCGAGTTTGAAGTCTATTTGGAAGGTGACGTCATCATTCGCGAAGGGGAGCTGGGTACGGAGATGTATTTCTTGAAATCGGGTGTGGTAAGCGTGAGCTGTGACGGACAAACCACTGACGACTTGACTGATGGCTCATATTTCGGAGGTGAGTTTTCCATAGGCTTACCAGTAGGGTATATACAGTCGATTCTCTTTTAATGGACACCTCTGTCTCGGAAAAAGATGACAGTATGGAAAAAGAGACAGATGGACAGACAGACAGACAGACACACTGATAGACAGGAAGACAGAAAGAAAGCAAGCATTTTAACTCAAATTGAATAAGTTACAGTTTTTTCTTTTCTTCAAAGGTACAGTGTTCATTGACCATAATAATAGATCTGAAAACACAATAATTTTCTTCTCCGAAAATGTACATAATTTTCCTTCTGCAGAGATATTCCAAACGCTTCACTATAATGGCATTATTTGACGTACAAATTAATTTGTATTTAATTTATTTTGGATAATCAATTAAATCACTATTTGTACAGGTTTGCGGCAAAACATATTTCAAATCTAATATATCACTTTTATAATAAAATGTGCTTTACTGCCAACCAATAACATTCTGACAATTATTGCCCAATTAAAGCTTATAGAATTTAGCATCTTGGTAATGCTCGACCTATATCGTGTTGTAATGATATTTGTCTCATCACGAGTTAATATCAGTTTATTTTATTTTTAAGAGCTAGGTAACTGTTGTTTTATTTTTTTTTGTTTTTTTTCTCCCTCTTTTGCCCTAGAAATTTGTCTGTTGACTAATGCAAGACGCACGGCAACAATCGAAGCCAAAAGTGTGTGTGACATCTACATTTTACACGCCGAGGATTTTAGGGAAGTCGTAGACGAATATCCAGAGATGCGACAAGTTATGGAATCAGTGGCTTCTCAACGGTTGAGCAGGATGGGAAAATCAGTGGACTTTTCAGCGTGTCCTTCACGGGAGAATTTACTTGCAAGGCTTCAGAGCTCAAAGAACAGCGGCAATAACAGCCTTTGTTGCAGCTGTTCAAATCTGTTACAGCCACCGGAAAATCAACCAGAGATCGTTGTAACTAGGGATGTTCCTTTTGTAATAACTACGAGTGACACTCAGTTTATCACTTGAGAGCAGCGTTCGTTTGCACTTCCATCGCTTAAGGGCAAAATTGGGTGAAAAAGAGCGGGTAATTCTTTGTAATTCAGTTGAGGGATTCGACAAACATTGAGTGAGTGGATAAAGGAGAATGTTCTGAATGTTTTAACGCTCATGATGAACACAGTAGCTAATCAAGCTCGAAACCAACGTACTGTTTTGTAAGTAGCATATTCCCTTTTCATGCAGACCAAACGTTTTTGTGTTTCGACAATAACAACCTCAAGGAAATAGGACTGAAAAATTACTTGTTGTGGTGAAAGAAACTTAAGAGTTATCCGCAGACAGAGTGTAATTAACTACCCAATTTTTTTAAGGAGATCACAACTTTATTTCTGCAATTCAATTTGAGGAGAAATTAGCGTTTTTAGTTTGTTTTGATAGTGTTTGGTTATGAAAAGGCTTGCTTTGTGTAAATAAATCCATCCGTTGCTTTTATTTTTTAAAGAAAAATGATGTAGTCTAAGCAATTACTGTTAAAGAAAAATGATGTAGTCTAAGCAATTACTGTATGTATGACAATTATTCTATGAGCACTCGCGAGGCTTCCGTCTATTTGTAATTTATTTTTATCCTTCTGTGATTTCCCTATTTTTTGGCTTGGAATTGGACTTGACTGACTTGAACTGAAATCTGGCCAAGCAGGATTTTACCATTGGGAAAGGACTCGAGAACTCTGAATGGGGCACTGAGACTTTATAAAATTGCTGCACTGCAATGAAAAACGTCTAAGCCCTTTTAAGCCAAAAATTTGAACCCTTTGGCAGCCGCCAGAGCCGGAGTATATAATTATATATATACAGTATATATAAAAGAAAACCTCGTAACTTTATCAAATCCTTATCATTGGACCGGTTTCGGCTAATTAGCATGAATAGCAATTGATTAAAAAGAGATTTGCAACACTCAGGGATTATTTTAGATGTAATTAAGCACCTTTTTCCTTTTTTTGTTTTTCCCTTGCCTTTCTCTTTTAAATTTTATAGCCAGCGTTGTTGCCCACTTTGTCGTCTTTCTTTCGGCTGGAATTGTGGCTGGTTTATGACTTTTCAAGTTAAGCTAAGTTAGGGACAAATTTTATTCTGCAAAAATTAGTAGGTGAATAGCAAAATTGGCTGCGAATTTTTCCCACAAATTTTATTTTACTTTCTGTGTGTAACTCTTTCAGGACTGGTCAAAATTTGCAAAATTAGACACCTGCGGAAAGACGAATACTTGCCTATTTGACTACTTACCAACTTAATGGCTTGAACTGAAAGCTAAATGGTTCCAGGGAGAAAAATGTGCATCGTTCTATATGGAACGAAAACGACTAGAGAGGTCGTCAAACGGTTGATTACTTTTAATTAATAGAGCTATTCGTACACAACTATAAAGAAATCGCTAACTAGCTAGTCCCAATTATTTATGAGTGTAAAAGCCTAATTATCGTCTTGTCCAGTTACCAAGCTAGAGGTTGAAATCAGTGTAGTCTCGCTTTCTTCAGCTTCGTTTGCGGTATCAAAGGGAGAATCAAGCTCCCTCGATAGTGGACAATAGATATCCTGGGCGGCACCGGTAATCCTCAAACCTGAACTTCAAGGGTGGCTCATCAGCCTTAGCAATTTGAGGCAATTGCCTCACGTATTTTAAAATTGAACTTTAACGCGCAAAAATTTCATAATCGCACTAAAAGGGGGGAAAAAAAATGAAAGGGCAACAGGATTCACTGGGTTTATTTCAGACACACTTGGGATAATATGGTAATTTTAGAGTTTACGGTGCTTAGGGAACATTTGGTAACGGCAATACCATGCTGTAAGGTCCTTTGCCGTTTAGGAAAACGTGACGTGACGTCGTCACGAAGAAATGGGGTCATTTGAAATTATGTTTCACAAGTTGCTTCGTCGACTCACGTTTGTGAGTTCATTTCCTCATCGTCATGGTCATCATCGTCATCGTCATCACAAGCATCGTCATCAGCGTCGTCATCATCATCGTTGTCATCGTCATCATCATCGTCACCGTTATCATTATCACTATCATTACGCCTGAGGAAAACAAAAGGGGGTAGTTAAAAACCGCAAATCTTTCCGCGTACACTAAGGAGACTGAATCAAGATCATCGCAAAATAAAGCAAAAGAAAGAGAGAGATAGAGAAGAAAAGAAATAAAAAGAAGCAAGTAAGTGTTACATGGTTAAAAAAAAACCAGCTGTCGGAAACTGTTAAATGACTTATGTCTAATCTTGTGTGATTATCGATTGATTGTGATAATGAAAGTGTTTACGTGATCGTTTCAGGATCAATTGACATACTTTTTAGACTTTTTTATGGCTTATAAGAATCGTCCGTTTCATGGCGTGGTAGACAACAACAGTTTTTTGATTTCTGTATGTGTGAGTTGCTTTAGCGATCCTGTACTTGAAACGCGTGTCATTGTAAATTAATCTTTTAGTAAATTTATAAAAAGTGTGGACGTCTCTCTCGTGTTTTCCGTAGAACGCTTTTACATCAAATATAGCATTTGAAGTTGAATTTCTATTTCAGTGATATAGTAGAGTCTTTGAAAAATCATTTCACTCCCAGAGTGGACAATGGAGTCTAGAAAGGAGGATAAGTTCGATCTGATATTTGAGTTATTGTGGACAAAACCCTGTGGTGTGACCATTCAAATGAAACCTCTTCAGCAAGACTTTCATGGTAATAAATTGTCACTGAGCGCCCCCACTCCCAAACGCCCCAAGGTTGGGATGAGTTATGGGAAGAGGAGAGCCCTGGGCCGGAAAGGAGCAAGAGCTAAAGGGGCCAGAGAGTGCCATCGCTGCGAGGAGGTTGGTGGGGGGACAAACTAGGTATCTGGTGTCCGTTTTAAAGAAGAGAGGAATAGACAGCATGAAACAGGCCAATTTATACTAAACTCACAAAATATATGCACAACGGGTTTCCCGGCGGATCCACAGATGCGACGGCCCCTAGTGAGAATAGTACGTATCAGGAGATTATTTAATAGGCTCTTGATTTAGTATGTAGTTCCAACTTTTGAGTCTGTGGACGAAATCCTTTGGTGTGACCATTCAAACGAAACATCTTCATCAAGACTTTCACATGCACATGGTAGGTATTTATTTAGTATGTTGTTCTAACCTTTGCGTCTGTGGACGAAATCCTCAAGGTGTGACCATTCAAATGAAACCTCTTTGATATTACTTTCACATGGTACGAATTTATTGCTTTCGACGAAGGAGAACGCTGACTATTCAAGTAGTAACTATTTTGGATGCCATGCGATTTTACGGTTTCGACGCCATCTTGGACCGGCTGGCACATTTTTCCTCGATGTCATGCTTGGCCGCTGGGGTCTGGTATTAACACGTGTATTGAAACTACAGCAAACGCTATCTTTTCCTCCGTGCAGCGTTGTTGTTCTGGCTTTATAGCAACTGTTTCTCTCGCGGCTTTTCCCGAAGCGTTGTTCGAAGCGCATCTTTTCGGAGTCTACCCCGAGGTAAGTGAAGTTTTGTTCAGTTATTCGAGCTTTCCGTAGCAAATAGTCTAAAGCAACTTATCATGATATCAGAAAAGTTGGCGGATTTAGGGGGAGGATCCGGTGTTCCAGCTTTTGCGTCTGGGGACGAAATACTATAGTGTGACCATTCAAGCGAAACCTCTTCAGCAAGACTTTCACATGGTACGTTTTCATTTATTATGTAGTTCTAAATTTTGCCTCTGTGGACAAAATCCTATGGTGTGACCATTAAAATGAACCCTCCTCTTGGCAGTATTTTTTGCTTGGTATGATTTCTGTTTTAGAATCATGAAAAACGATCGGGAGTTCTGGTCTCGAGTTTTGTGTTTATTGTTTTTTTTTATTATTTTGGTTTTGTTTATATTTACTAACTTCTGCATTTGTTATTAAAAAAGGAAACTAGTAAGTATACCTGACTGATTAAAGTTTTAACAAGCGACAGGTTAAATTGGTTGGTTGTTACAATTGTTAAATTTGTAACTGTTCAGAATACAAAGTCTTAGTGTCATTCAAAGTCTCAGCTCAAACGGTTAAAAATTGAAAAAGCTAGTTTGAAAGAGATCACTTTTTGATAACAGCTTACCCGGGGTGAAAATAAAGGGAAAGGCTTCCCTTCGACTCCGTTTACAGTCCCAGACAAAACGTCTTTTTGAATATGTTTTTTATCCGTTTAATAAGTTCCTCTAATATTTTTTGGGACAGCATTTTTGCATGGTAATATTTGTTTCAGAATTTTTTAATTTGAAAAATGATCATGAATTCTGTTCTCGATATTAATTTTTGTGTTTTATTATTTGTCTGTTTTTAATAGTTTTTCCTTTTTGTCTTTTTAAAAACATATTAATTATACCGGCCTGATTAAAGTTTAAGCGACAGGTTTAATTGGTTGGTTGTTATCCACTGCAAAATCGATCGTGGTAATTAATAAAGAGAAAGGCTTCCGTTGTACGTCATTTACCTAGTTTCGGAGTTTTTAATTGTGACGGCTTAACAGTTGCTGTCATTATTAGCCAGTTACAGCTGTACAAACGCACAGTGTCTGGGTGGTCATTTGTATGCAGGAACTTTGTGCAGAATTTTATATATATAAAAAAGGATTCGCTCCAAATTTTGGAATACACTTTTTCACCGTTTCTGACATATTCTTGTTGTAAAGGATCCCCCACTTATCCTGATTCTATCTAGTTACATTGATCGATAGAAAGCCAATCTAGTCATAAACAAGAGAGAATGTCGAAAATGATCCAATTGGTCAGCGAACTTGTTTGGGTTATATAAGCAATCTTTAATCTACGGCCAGTGTAAATTATTGTAAAGAAAAACTATCGTCGCACATCCGGCTTTTAAACAATGTTTAAAACTAGAACCCGCCTAGTTTAGAGAGATTTTAAAAAATTTTTGAGACGTTTACTAAAAACCGTTTCGATAACTATTTTGTTTCGAAAGACTTTTTCGGAGACCAAAGCGATCATACTTTTTTAACCCCCTAATGTATTTTCTTTCATACTCAGCCTCATTCAATAGTTTTTAATTATTTGTGCCTACTAAACATAATCCCAATTTTGGGGTTTGGCTGCAGGTGTTTCATAAAACACTGTTAAAGCTAGACACGATTTGAAAGTTCCCCAAGCATTGTATTGCTTTAAGTCACGCTTTTTAGGGTAAGATACGGGTAAGGTATTAGTAACCTGGTTTCAATTGCAATTTTGTTAATTTACTACTTTTCAAAATAGGAAAAGGGATGGATATAATATCGAGAGAATATCTGTATAGAAGAGGAAAAGTATTTATTTATTTCCTTCCTTGCCAATGCCTCGAAATGCCAAACATATAACAGTGAAATGATATATATAAGTTATTGGCAGCAATCGGTAACAGACATACCTCGTCTAAGTGACTAGTTCTGCGCCAGTTTTACCCAAGCCAAGTTGCTAACAATTC